CATTTACAGATTTGAAAATTTAAGAGTATACTGAATATTTAAGAGCATACTGAAGAAAACCAGATAATTACAATTTTAAAAATACAAATCCATAACTTAGATTACAAACAGGTTACCTTGCATTCTCTTAGCACTCTTATAAAGTAACAGAACATGCCATTCTTCACAAGAACAGCAAAAAAATTAGTGCTTACGCCACTCCAGATATTTAATTCTCCCTGGGCCTCCCGTGTCGCATTCAGGCAATAGTTAGCAATTGCTAACAGCTCACTATCGGGCCCTACCACACTGTCACCTGCCTGGCTCCACCTGCCAGCTGTATCCTGGAGCAGGAGGGGACATGCAACAGGCAACCTTTGAACTCTCGCTCCACGGTCAGGAATAAGGCCTCACTGCAACGGTGCTGAGCAAAAAGACAATTTCTGCCACAAATTGCTTGTGAGCCACTGTGTTCCTAAGGCAGTGGCCAATATTTACTTCCTGTTATGATTAGCTGCAAAGGGGCTACTGAAAATAGATGAGTACATCAACACTCCTTAAAATTAACTGGTAATAAACACAGCTGAAAGCTAGTTCTTCCTTATCGACAGTGCTGTACCTGTTCTGAGCATGCTGTTACTACATCTCACTTGAGATGAACACAGCTCTTACACCACACAAGGCCACACGGTGCCCTGAAATGTAAGAGGACAGACAGGCCTGCAGTGATCATCTCAAAGTATACAGAGCTGGCGTTATTGTGAGAAGTAGTAGCATGAGCTAGAGTAGATGATATTCAATTATTTTCTCAAATCTGTTAATGCCCTTCTGCATTGCATTGAGAAATTTGCTTACCTTATTGCTTTTTTTTTTTATTATTAAAAAACAACAAAAAAAAGAAGCTTGATATATACTACACTCAAAGCCAAAGGACCCAGTCCATAGCTACTTCTGCACAGGATAGGACCTCGTGTTGAATTATCCTCCATGCTTATCTATCTGTGCTCCCATGCAAGAGACCCTGGCAAAAGGCACAGTCATGTCAGGGAAATGCAGGTTGAAGGGGTTGCTGGGTGGTCCTATGCCTGAATTATTTGCTGGCTGCCTCCGTAGGGACCATGGTAACTGTGGCACAGACAAGAGAATCCCCAAGGACAGCACTGAACTGGGTCACAGCCAGGAGAAGAAAAAGGGAGAGGTGCTGGTATAGGCATGCGGATGAGGCACCCTCCCTCTTCTCCTGGGGCCAGAAGCATCCCTGACCCCAACAATCCATGCTCTAAATTAAGGGCTGCTATCCCTCTGAAGAAAGGAGGAAAAGGAAGCAGCAGCAATATGAAGAGATGAGGCATTTATTTTTGGCTCACTTGCTCTTAATGGAGATAACAATACCTCACTCCTTGACAGCAAAGCAGAGACTCAATTCATGGAAGTTTGCCAAGTAAATTGAGATCTTTGTACAAAAGGCACTTTCGACATGCACAACTTCTGGCTTATTAAAGCAAAACAAAAACCATTCACCTTGAGGAGCGTTCAGAAATTAGGAGGCACAGTTCCTCATGGCACAGTGCCTTATGTGATTATTTAAGCTTGCAGACATCCAAGCAGCAATGCTTGGCTAGTTTAAATACTTAATACATGAGGTGCAAAACAGTGAGGATGCAGGACTGCTGTCTCTTCCACACAATTTGCCAGTCACTCTCCAAGGCTCCACTCTTTTTGAGAAGCATCTAAGTCGAACAAGGCATTGCATTGTAACCTTATCACATACTTACATCTAGTAGAAAGGCACATACAAGAGGAAGGGTTGCAAGTAAGTGGCCTATTTAGAAAGGTCCCAGAATACTTTGTGTAATTTTCTTCTCATTTCCCCATCCCTCCCTTTTTCTGAAATGGCAGGTAACCAGAGCAAGAGCAGTGTGTGAATTGATTTGGAGGCGATCAACGCATTGGTGTTCAGCTCTGGCCCGCTGCCGTGTCATTGATTGCCTCGGGATCGATTTGCACACCATTCCTGCTCAGCACACCTGCCAAGTCGAATGGAGAGAGAACAATGAAGTGAAAAGAAAATTATGTATTTGTAGTAGACACTTTCACCTCTCTCCACATCCCCCCTCGTGAGAAGTTGAGAGACCTGGACTGATTTCAGTGCTACTTTGAGAAAGTGCTAGGAGAGAAGTTAGTAGAAAAGGGGAACAACAGGGAACAACAACCACTTACAGAAGCTAAAGAAGCTAAAGTTTCTGCCTATAACAGAGGCTGGACAGCAGGCTGGAGTTTTGGCTAATATATTATCATCTTTCCTGCTGCTGTGTAGCAGCCACAGAGGGTACAGGTTTCACCTTGCAGGGCAAGTAAGGCAGAGTCTGATCAGCAATCAGCATAGTGGCCATGCCAGAAGCTAGCGGTAACCCAGCTTGCGCAGGGTGTGTGCTGCTTACATATCCCTAGTGCCTGCACATTTCCCCCCCTTTGGAATCAGGAGGTTCTGATATCCCAAACCAGCCAGTTGTATCATTCCTCTTGTCAGATTGTGAACTCCATGTCATTGCTGCTCTCCTAGAGATAGCAGGACTCTCAGGTGAAAGATTTGTTGCATTTGTTGCAAGATTTGATACAAACACTTTGCAAGGTGGTTCTTACAAACACCTCCATCAAGAGAAGTGCGAAGTTACTTGTCCATCATATTTCACGTCTGTTACATGTCAAATTCTCTACTCAGAGTTAGCCAGGATTTCAAAAACATCTCTCCTTTCCACTGTCATTTCGTGAACAGTGTTCAGATTGATTCCCTATGCTCATTTCTGAAACGCCACACTGACACAACATTTTTCCAAAATCAATTCAGACCCCCCATTATCAACAATAGCCAGTGACTCTCAGAAGACCCGCTTTCTTATATCACTTCTGAAAGTAGGCATTATGCTCTTAAGTCAACTGGGATGCATTGCATGTAGGACCTAACTGAATAGGAAGGTCTGGATGCTAGAGTACAGAAGCAATCTTAAGTCAAACAAAGGCCTTAATAATGGACCTTTTCTGCTTATTACACAAGGCGTTTGGAACACCACCACACTCAGAAAACTCCTAACCTGCAGACTGCTGAGTGTACGAAGCTATAATCCAGACACTATCACTATTTGCCATATTCTGTTCTTCTCCTTTATGCATCTGCTGTTGGTCACTTTTGGAGACAAAACATTGGTTTCGATGGGAATTTGGTTTGACATCATAGAGACATTCTTGTGTTCCTGTCATTTGGGAAACGTAGTTTTCACAACACCTGTAACATAGGTGTTATTTTTTCCTTCCTAAAGAGTTTGAAAGAAGCAGGCAGAGTAATTAAAGGTTACATTTTCAGATAGCATCGCTATTATAGCTATTACATAACAGTCATGCTATTAGTCACAGTTCTGTTTTCCTCAGGTTTCAGTTTTTATCAGAGACACTTGCTTTCTAATTTCCATGTATACTTAAGGTTTCCAGAGAAACTTGGGTCTGAGGAGCCACCTATTTATAAGCGCTAGATAACCTTCACTCTGTTATCCTATTTTCAGAAGAGTTCAGCTTCCATTTACATAGTCCTGCACAATAAAACAGGCTGATACTACAAATTGACTAGCAACTCATGGGACCTTTTGAGTGTAATGGGACCCTAGTGAATGAAGAGCTTGTTTTTTTTTGTTTGTTTGTTTTGTTTTGTTTTTAGGTTGTATTGATAGCCAACACAGTTTTGTAGAAACCTACTCCATTCATGACAGCAGCTGGCAGACCCCCAGAAGACATTACTTTGTACACTCACTGGCGGGTTTTTCCAACTGTGAGCTTTACAGACAAGCACTCTCTGCCCCGGTGACACTTTGAGTTGCCTTCTTTAGCACCTTTGCACTTTGGCTGCATCTGTTATCATGGCACTCTTGTTGCTCTTTTCACAGGTAGGGTTGAGGGCTTGGGTCTTCTATCACCTCACTTCAGACTTCATATAGGTATATATCATACATATATACACAAACTGGTGCACTGATGTAAGGGGGCTATATATATATGTAGCCCACCCACCTGAGTTGCTGTCCAGATGCCCTTTAGAGACCACAGAGAAAAAACACTTTTTGGAAATGAATGCATTTCAGCTGACTTATTTCAGGTGCCTGATTGAACGGAAGACAAATTGGGCCCTAGAAACCATTTTCATTTCTATTGACTACATGGATAGTTTAAATAATAAGCTGAGGTAGTGATACGTACAAGGCAGTTGCCCACAGTCAGTCACATAACTCCAACCTTTTGAGGCCCTTCTAAGGCAATAAGTTTGAGAATAAAACACTCATCACCTATTGTGCAGCATGTCACAATAACCCTTCATTCTGCCCACCTTTTCCCTTCAGGCTCTTCTTGATCCTTTCCACCCCACGCAAATTACTAAGGTAATGTTCCTTGCCTTTTGCTCCAGTCATTTTACTCTGTGCTTCAAATTCCTCCAACATCCCTCATTGTGTTTCATCACATCTTCAGATGCCTTGTTCTTAGCTTTTCCTCCCCACTCATTCATTCTCATCTCTTATTCATTCTCATCTGTTACCACACCGCCCCAGCACCCTCAGTTCTGCTACTAAGCTGCCATCAGCTTCACACACAGACAACCACATGCCTGGAAGGCCCTCTCTCACCTTCGACCCCTCCATAAACCTACCTGTAAGGCCCTGTTCTTCCTCTACAACATACTACAAGACTCATTACTTTTGTGACATGCACACCAGGAAACTGATCAGCTACTAATGAACTCATTAATGACTAGTGAGGTACAACCAGTCCATGTAACAAAGTTTAGAAAGAGCAAGTAAAACAAGATGTTCGACAACGATAAATTAATTAGAATGTCTCATTTTCCTAAGGTGAGGAAACAGAACCGTGCTGAGCATCTGCCTTCCAAAAAAAAAATAATCAAGATTTAAAAAAATATCTGGACACTAAAAAAAAACCCTGACGGGAACCCACAATGGTGCAAGTACTTCTGCAAAATCTCAGCTACATTAGCTCTTTATAAAAAGAAAAAATAGTAACAAATGCACATCTTTGGAGTACAACCAAGTTTTCTCCATTGCTTGGATGTCACTTATGCTTACTGGACTGAGTTCCAGACACAAGTAGTAGGAATGAATAAACTCTTAAAATGCAGTTTCTCAAAAATAGATTTCATAGATTTTTCAAAAACAGCTTTCCTCAATTCCAGTAGGTTGCCAGCTATCTCCCAGGCTTCCCTGGAATTCGGAGAAAAATGTTGCAAAGAATAACTAACTTCAATACAGAAAAGACTGAAAAGCAAGAAGCATTTTGCAGCTGTATTCTGACAGAAATTACCTGAAGGCAGCTAGCCCAGAAAGCTGAGAGAAGTGTGGTCACCACTTCTCTCCACCACAGGATGCTGCTGCATACACCAACTGGAACACAACTTCCTCTATTCTGCTGGCTGCTACATGCTGATATAGATATACTTGCCGTCCAGCCTACTAATAGTGCCTCATTCCATCTTTCACCATAACTTCAGCGGAGGTGCATACCTAGAACAGTTAAAATTCTTCTCTGAGCCCTGGTTCAGAAATACAACCCTAGTCCTGCTGCAAAGACAGCAATGTTAAGAACATGCAGCTTCTCTGCTTATATATCATAGAGAAAATTGAGCATTGACACAAATGTCAAATTAATAAGTAGCTCTGCATAAACTTCCTCCATAGCCCATATTGGACCTTTGTATTCTGGTGTATTTTAGGTGCTCAACAGAAGAGTTATTTATAGGGTCCAGGTTCCAAGAAATATATTCTGTACCATAAGCTTTTGTTTCCGGCCTGAGAAAAGAGGTAGTCTTCCCAAAATGAAAGAGAAGTAACTTTCTAATATTTCTGACATTAAGCTTCAGCTGTGGAATAAAAACTAGTTTATTTTACAAGTAAGTAATTCCATCAAAAATAGCTGCTTGGACATCAGTTCAAAGTAAAGTTCAGTGTGAAATGCATCTATTTTATGAGACAGAAGAAAGCAAGCCTGAGTGGATCACAATGGGTTGTGAAACAGAGGGAGCTGACTTTTTCAGGATAAGTAAACTTTCACCTATTTCACCCCTTAGTCTGGTCTTCTCTGGAGGGAAATAGTTGATGGTGGATTGGTAGTCTCTGAAACCAGAGGGTTCTAACACACTCCTGCTGTCTCCACAGAGAAAAAGGTTGAGACATTTGGTCTCCTCCCTTACATTAAAAACCTCTAACTGTCTCCAAGCCTTGCGGCCACCCTCTGTTCTTGTGTATCTTGTGTCAGGTTGACTTGGAGCATGCCAGGACATTAAAAAATTTGTGAATACTTTTTCTACAAAGTTTTGATGGTCAATGCTGTTCATAAAGTTGAAAACTAAATGCAGAAGAAAAGTATTCTAAACACAAAAGTATTGATTTAGGGACTCTTCAGATAATCTACTGAAAAACAGCTTGAACCAGATATTTGCAGGGTATGGGAAGGAAGGTTTAACTTTAGGGCAAAAGGAAATGAGCTCTCACTTGTTATTTCAACAGTACAGAAATATCTACCTACAGATACGTCTGTGACTGATGCAAATATTTCTCCACGCTCAGCCTTGTCCACACACACCAGGTAGTGCTTTAATTGTACAACAAAAGACCATGTGAGGTGAATTAAGTCATTGACAGAAATTCTCCACAATCCACCTGAGGATAGTACTGCTACAAACTGTTCCTCCCCATCCCCTGTTTTGCCAGCAGGTCAGGTGTTCCTTTTTCTAATTGATTTCAGAAAAAATTCAGCCGGGTGAGTTCAAGCCGATTGGTTGAAGCAGTGAAGCTAACCCAGCTACTTTTGCAAGTGCCGGTCCCAGCCCTGGCAGCCGCCTCCGGCAGCGATGGGCACCGGGGGGCAGTGTTGCCTTTGGGCAGCACAGAGGGAGCGGGGAAGGACGCCTCTCTCTTGCTTTGCCTTGCAATGAGGCGTTACTCCTTCTTTGCTGTTCCTGTGGAGCAATGAGATGAGCAACACGGAGGCAGGGCACTTTTGCCCAAGTATTTCTATCTTCACGTAAAGGCTTAAAAGTGCTTAACTAGATGGATGAAAGAAAAATTACCTTAAGTTTTAGTTTAAACTTATGTGCCTTCCCATATATTTATATACACACACCAGCTGAAGAGAACAACTTCATTAATTCATCATTAACTCATCTCTAACAAAACTTGCTTTGAGAAACCTTCCTATTTTATGCTGCAGCCAGCCAGCAAGCACAACTTCCTTCAATCTTCAATTTCACTCAAACTTGTGGGATACGAACCAGTGATTAAACATTCCACTGTAAGCATTCAGCATTTCACTCATGGGGTGTCTGTGTACAGTTCTGTTCCTTAAGGTCTGTATAATACTAATTATGAATTGTTCCATTTGTGAAATCTGTTATGAGTTACATGCTGTTGTTTCCACTCCTTAAATTGACTAGTGTAACTCTGATAAGGATCTAATAGAAATCAGTCCATTGCTTAAGGTTATCTAGATGTTTCATGTACCATGTTGAATCACAGCTTACATAAGCTCATGTTATATGATCATGCTGATCCTATTAATATATTTCTCCCTATATCACAGTATCTAGTACCTCCAAAGCCATGTTTTTCATCTACAAATGTAAGCAACAAAAGCCAGAGACATACAGATTACTCAAGCAGGTCATTCACATCTGTTTTATAAGCATCCTTTATGAAGAACCAAGTCTTTGAAAGCTGGACATCAGAGATGGATATTCAGAATGTTACAGACATAGAAAATGTTTCTTCAATGTAAGCAAAAGATTCAGGAAACTAATATAGAAACTCAGTATAGGGAAGCAGCTGTATAGCAGCTGACAACATTTTCAACTCACTGATCTCACACATTCTTTCTTTCCAACCACCCTCCACCGTCTTCTAAGTGGCTGAAAGGGAAAGGGTCAAGAATTTTGGAATAGACAAGGATGCATATCCCAGAATGTTCCGGGCCATCATTGACTAAAAGGGAGCAACTGCTTAGACCACACAGAATCAGCTATAGGTTTGCCTGTTGCTGAATGCAGTAAATTTGAAATTGATCTCAAAGAGGCCAGTAGTCAGTAGACTCAAACATATGGAGCTAGGAGGAAAAGCGTGGAAAAGAAGGTGACAAGCCTAATCTCTAATCTAATCTAGAAGCAACACTTGCAGAGGTCAAAGTCACATATGACTAAACCTCAAGCTCTATCAATAAATCAAAAGAGCAGTAACATGACCATTACTGAAAAGTGCAGGAGAACAATAAGGCTAAGACATCATAAATTTAAGCCCACACACCACTGATGTGCTAAATTCAAAGCACGGAGCTCCATTCTTCCTACTCAGTGTATTTTTTGAGCCTGAACAGCATATCCAGATCCTGCAGTGTCTGAACTTTTCTGTTTGACTGTAAAAGAGAATCTTCAGTTCATGCCCAGAGTTTTAACCAAGGCAGTGAAGCCTACCAGAGTTAGAATCTCAAATAATGACCAAGAAATCAAAACTCTCACCTAACCTTGGGATGTTAGTACCAAAGCAGAACAATGGCACATAAAAGGTCAGCATCAGCTGTTCTGCTGAAAGCATTATAACAGATAAAATGGGAAAGTGGTGAATAGCAAAGAGCAGGATTTGGAGCTGCTGAACGGAAAGTAGTAAAACAAGGAAGAAGAAAGGGGGAGGAAATATGTTGGTCCTAAAAGAGGGCACATTTTCCTACAGAACAGTGCTGTAAATGAGGCTCTAAACATACAGGAAGTTGTATTATCACTAAAACAGCAAGTGCACTAAGACAATTAGTCTTCGTGATCTCCTTGGGCTGACATCTTCTGCAGCACTGCTGCAGACTGAAGGGAAGAGTTTTACACTTGCACATTAGCCTACAGGCCAAACCAAGAAATACAACTAGGCATTCTGCACTGATTTATCTCCCTAGTTTAGGCAGAGCCCCATGTTACTAAACCTGTAAAAATCTGAGGAACAAAGTAAAAGGAATGTCATTTCAGGAAAAAAAAAAAAAAAAAAGCATCTGTTTTGAAGTTTAAACTATCTGAGGTTTGTCATGGTAAAAATTGTAACATACTTTTTCTGTTAATGACACTTATGACTGAAATGAGTTACTGTGCATCACAGATTCCAGCCTACTCCACCTCTGAGAGGTCTGTACATGCTCAGACTGAAGGAGGAATGTTTCTCATCTGCATAGCTTAGCAGGAAAGCCTCAAGAAACTCTGGAACTATTTGAATCAATTAAGGGAATAGGTTAATACTGACTTCTGCAGGTTGCCTTTCTTTGAAAGTCTAATTGAATTTCTTGGCAAACATCAAGAAAAATAAAAGTCCATTTCACGCAGTTTCTTTTTATTTTGTTGTTAGAATTGGCAAAAATAAAGGACTGAAGTTTGAGTGCTGACATCAGAGAGGCAGGGGAAAGGAATGTAGGAGAGGATGAAATGCACAGAGGAGAATGATGTCTGAAAAACACACAAGAAAAGCAGAAGTTCAACACTGTTTACAATGTAACAGCTGAGAAAGGTCTGCAACAGTTAGCTCTGAAACCAGACAGTCTCTGAAACCTACAAAGTGTTCCCTTAACAGCTGAGACTGCAGGTAACAATTTAAATAAATCATTATTTAACAACTGTAGATCTCAAAAGGCGTATCAAGCTTGCCTTTCTCTGAGTGTTCTACCTTAGGTTGACAGTGATGGCTCCTCTGGTGCTCACCACACTGTCCCTTCACCCGAACAGTGTTCAGCCCTTGGGAAGCAGCCACAGAAGGCCTCCAGCTGCCAGCTGATCAGAAATCTTCTTCCACCAGGCAGCCTGGTCAGGATGCAACCACAATCCAGAGGAAAATGGAATGAAATCAGAATGAAATGCAAACTTTTTGAAAACTCCTCAGTGGTCATGTATCCATCAGCAAGCACATCTACCTTCATCCACAAGCACAGGAATTTCTATTTTCTTCCTCATCTTTCTGTATTCGGGTATATTCTCACCAAGGCAACTTTGCATATTAGTGTAACATGCCTCCACGTCCCCAGCCTTCTCTTGTTAGCTGTTTCTTTTTGCCTGCTCGTGTCACCTTTTCTATTCACCCTCTGTCCACTTCTACTGTAATTAAGGACAGTCTCCACAGCACCACTCCAGTGCACAGCATGGCACCAGCAGAGATAAGCAGTATCAGCAAATATGATGAAGGATGGATAACTATTATAAGATAGTTTTATGGCTGGAGAGTTCTATAAACAAAATGTTGTAACTACTACAGAGCTGGACTTTATATGGGGTGAAAGTGAAAACATTGACAGCTCGATTACATCACTAGTCCGTGAGATAACTTCTCGTGCAAATAACAGTCCAGTATCTTTTTACAGATACACTGGAATAATTCATTTGCAAAAACAGTGCTTTGAATTTGATTTCTGAAAGGCAGTGAGTAACAAGGCTTGAATTCAAGTAGTTTATATTTTCCAGCTTCCTCTATAACCAGAGACCACCACTGCTGCACTTGTGGAAAATTTGTCTGTTCTTACTTCCCATTTCCAAACAGGTGTACCTGTCACTTAAAGAACATTAATTAAGATGGATCCATTGTGATTTCAGAGTACTTTTTGTCTAAGGTTGATAAATTTATCACAGACAGCCTTAACAATACATAACGAGTTATATCTGCACTTTCTGCAAGTCTATGCAATTAATTTTCTATTTGTGAAAGGAAATGGAAAATGAAATATTGTGCCCTTTCTAATGCAGAGGCAGATGTAATGAATGGCTTTGGCAAACAGTTGTCAAAGTATGTTAACTCGCATCTACAAATCTTTTCCTTCCCCAACAATAGTTTTAGGGCCTGTGATAATTCCCTTCCCTTTGTCATACTGATATAGCATGCTGAATCCAGTGTTATCTAGACTTAAGAAAATTTAATTCCAGTTGCAATCCACTGTCTTCATTTTTTTAAACCACTGGCTTGAGAGATCCCTATTGCAGATTAAAATCCACAAAGAGTTCTTTTCAGTGTTCCCACTGGAGATTGATACTCTCACCAGAAATACAGTAGTTATGCACTTGAACAGAAGTCTTCCCAGTTCTGGAACAGGCTGCCAAATACCATCCACCCTTCTTACAAAGGAAAGAAATCACTGTATCCTATATCTCTTATCATCCTTTCTTTGGGTGAGGACTGAAGCACTCAAGCATTTTATAACCAGATTTTGGAATGAAGTTCAATACCTTTCAGCCTCACCTGTACTATCAGAAGATATGCACAAAACTGAGCAACCCAGGCTACTTCCAGGCTGCACAGAAGGTTCGGCACTAAAACACCCAAAGGCAGGCAGCTGCCTGATGCAGGGCCCCATTCCAGGATAGCAGCTGTTCCACAAGGGCAGAGAGGCACCTAAACAGGGGAGCCTTCAGAACTAGTTTCTTAAGCTGGCCAGGTGTGAAATGTACGGGAATTGGTGGCATTTCAGCACCTCATCTACCTCTACTGAATCCCCTGCAGTCAGTATCGAGAAGCAAGAGTTTCCTCCCAGAATCAGGTACTTCCAGTTTCTTTATGTAAGGAAACAACGTAAAGGAAAGTCTCTGCAGTAACCAACTACTTATCTGTTAGAGTCCTGACCTCAGAAACTCATTCCTTTTCTGCCTAATTACAGCAGGTGCACACAAACTTCAGTCTCCTGCATCTCAGCTGTACTTGGTATTTTGGACCAAGTTTTCCTCTCAGCCTCCCCTCTCAAGTCCTATCTGCATGCTGTATAAATAAGCCATATACCAAGTTAGCGAAGAGAGCATGACTCCAGACTTCAGTAAGGGCTTGTGCTGGTCAAAATTTAGGTCCCTAGGTTTAGAGATTTTTTCTATTTTAAGTGTAAGTGGAACAAGCATCTTTGAAGACATCACCAGCCATACACACACAAAAAAAAGCCCCAAGCACAGAACTGTAACACCACTCTGATATTACCAAGATGTTTCTGCAATACTTGGATGTCTTCCAGGCATGCTACACCTGAAAATAAATG